TGGAAGAGTGAAAGAGATCTGTCATACCCAATGATAAAAGTGCATAAGTGCTAATATGGTTGAAGTCACCAACGATCATGTGCAGGTTAACATCTAAAAGTGGGACAATAAAAGGTATGAACGAGTCGAAAAATGACATACGATCAGACTGTGTACAGGAGGGAGCCATACACAATTTAGTCAAAATTGTGTGAGTAAAACGAGAAAATCTAGGGTGACACTGTGTAGTTAGGCACTCAATATCTTTTGAGCAGTACTGATAAACAACATGGGACTTGCCACATTAGGAAACATTGACATATGTGGCAACAGCCCCTCCGGTCTTTTTTCCTTCAGTTCCACGATCCCGCCGGTAAAATTGAAAATCGTCTATTGACACTAGAGAGCCATCTACGTCCTTATTCAACCATGATTCTTGAACACAGACTGCACACGTGTTCGTATGAATTCTTGATCGGAGGACACTAGTTTTTGGGAAACAGGGACCGAGTGTTGGTGCTGACCAATGAGAGGACAGTCATCTTGGACAGAGGGGTGCAATTAGGGGCAACTTGCCATCTTGCACGCTTGCGTTTTTTGGTCCAGCCTTGACAGTGAGAAAATGGACTCGCACAAACCGCTAAACCATCGAAGCATGTCCTGGCACGCTTGAAACAAATAAAATCATCCCGTGAGTAACGACGACGCATGGTAGTGGGTGAAAAGGTGAAAATTCCCACAATGTGACGGAGAGCGTGCAAGTGTAGCGCAGCCAATCGAAGGGCGCGTGCAAAGCGAATGAACATCATAAGCACTGATGATGTTACCTCGGCTAGGGATGAAATGTTTACAAACAAATTGCCAAGCTTGGCGAACAGACTAAATGAATGGAATTCAGTTCACCCGAGCTACGAGAACAATCGATTTTCAATATTTTGTCAACAAGGTTAGTTGTGCAAATGGATGTTTGGCAGATTTGAAGGTTCTATGATGATTATCAATTTGAATCCCACTGATGCTACTGAACTTTTCACAATCCACATAACAAATTTAACGTCTGCCCGAATAATTATTTGCACAATGAAACTTGTCTTAGATGTTCATTCGATGGACTCCAGTGAATTCTGAGGAAAACTTGTCGTGGCTAACGTTGGCTAACGTGCCACCTGGTGGATACCATATGCCTCTGTAAGTTGAATTGGTAATTCGAATGTGAAAAAATCAGTGCTCAGTCGGTGTGGCCTAGTAGCTCAACTGATAGAGCATGCGCGTACAATATAATGAAATGAAAATGGGATGATGTGCAACGGTGATGAGTTTTGGAATTTGGACCTTGCCTACCGACCGAAATCAACAAATAAATAAATAATCAAAATGTTAATAATACATAAATCTGTAATACACATATTTACCAACTGTCTAATTGCTTTTTTAGGTGTTATAAATGTATCACTGACGACTAATCTGATATTTACTGTTTTTATCTTCTTTCGATAAACTTGACACATACATCGAGAACATATCTATCTACAAAGATGTTACATCCTTGTAAAAAAGACTATGTTTGCTACATATAAAACTAATTATTCAAATTATAACATTTTTCTTGGCTGGAAAAAAATAAACCACTTTGACCTGTATGGGTGCGGGCGGGTGGGGGTAGTGTTTTTTTCCCTGTGAGGCAATTTGTTCGCTAAACCATCGTGTTTTACGAGTAATTAAAAATAAACCAGCAACAAATAATGATTACTAGTGTGCTTCATTCTAAACGTGTGATTGGGAAACGGGTGATCCGGACGGGGTGAGGTGCATATTATCCAATCAGCTCAGGCTGCTCGAACAGATCGGCCGAGGTTGGTATTCCGGGGGAATAATTGACCAATCACCAGACAGTTTGTCATATATAAATATGCGAACTGGTCCTGTTTTCGGGCGGGGGGCCAGAACGATCGGTTAGTGCGAAACAATTTCTCAAACGTGAGTTTCTTCACAAATTATGTTGAATTGGCGAATGTACAAATTTACCAGCAAGATCTTCATTCTCATTGTTTCTAATAAAGCATTTGCCCATTTGAACTGTGAGTATATTCTTTCTGAGTTTCTAATTTATTTATCAATCAACCAATAGTCTATTTCATTACTATCCTGTATCCACGAAGATAGAACCGTGTTCAATTGAAACACTAACGTACGATTTCCATTGAATTCTTGCACCGATGAATAATTTATTCTGTATGATGCCTTCGTGTTCAATATCAATTTAGAGAAGACAGGTTTTTAAGTTAATCAAGATACAATTGATTATTTATTTATGAGTTGGATATGTATGACTTGATCCAGCGTTTTGATCGACAGGTAATACCTTCAATTATCTTAGTAATATCTTAGGAGTTCCACTCAAAGTCATTAGTTAAAAAGACGAGACATGTTTGAGCTAGCCCATTCCATTTTTCACAGGCATCGGGCAATGCTGACGGTCTTTGGTGTGGGTTTCACTCCTTGGGAGATGATTGAATTCCCGCTAGTTGAATACGGTGAAAATATTTTTGATAGCTGACAAAGAGATATCACTGAACAGTCGTTCCCTGCCACTGGGGATTCGTCAGCAGTGCGTACTCAGTGCGTGTCCCTGTCAGGACTCGAACCACGAACCTTCGAGTTGGGACTTCAAACCCTTAACCCGGAGCTACCCGGTCGACAGTTATCACCTTGTGCGAATGGCTCGATCAGTTTAGATGATGAATGTTTGGATTAGCCCATTTATTTTCTGACACAGGTACCCGGCACGGTTGATGATCTTCGAGTCCCGACACTCCGGGACACTGTTGACGAGCTGCACACCGGGCGGAATCGCTGCCCACTGTTCTTTATCGGTCTCGACAAACATTTTCATCCCATTAGAAAAAAACCTTCACTATGTGAATCTCAAGATGAATGGATTTCTGTCACCATTCAGACGACTTAGAAACGGTTGTATCATGGACAGTTTTCACTCATGCGACCATACTCTTCCCGTGTCACATGAAGACGGACATTGAGCGGAACTTGAAAGTTCCCCTTTTGAGCATACCAATCCTCTGCAGCAAAGTGAAGAGCAGCCGTTCGGGAAGTTCAGTCCAGAATGAGTAAAACGTATTAGGGTCTGAAAGTAGAGAAACCGAATGGAACCATCGCACAACCAGTTCCATCAGGTCAATCTGTTCCATTCTTTCATACCAAACATCACATCCGAAATACACTGCATTCATCAAATAATCGGTCATAGAGTGATATTTTGATAACACTTGTTTCACTTCTGTTGCGACAGATTAAATAAGGACATCAAAATGCAATCGAAAAGCGTCATGTTGGAGCTTCTCGTGTGGCTGTATTTCCTCGCGTCTGTCGGTTCTGTCCATTCTACCAGCCTGTTGGAATCCTGTGACTTGGCCACTTGCGAGTAAGTCAACCTACATTCCCGTAAATCTGAGATCCTAATGTGAATGTTTGCCAATAGTGAAAATTTTCTAACCAGAACATCGTATATGTGACTTACTTACTTACTTTGCACATTATGCACTTTTCAGTAATGGTTTGCCACCAATTTGATACTGGAATGCGATCGGTGCGGTGATGGCCCGGTGGTAACGTCACCAAATTATCACCCCCGGGGGGATGTGTGTTCGTGTCCCACCACCACCACCGCCTAACTTTCTCCATTTGTGTGTTGTATGGCAACCCTCTTGGATTGGTCGCTTCCATCTTCCTGACAATTGTATCATTATGTATACAATAAAAGGGAGTAAAAATTTAAAAAAAAGTTATTGCACAGTGTATCTCGTTAGTCTGTTTGCACTGAACAGTGTCATATGTTCACCTAAATATCTCAAGTTCACCGAACAACCCCACTCCCCGGAATGGTCGTCTCGGAAGCCGACCTACCACATTATTAAACCCGTGTAAATAAATAAATAAATACTTCGAACATTCGGGTTTATCGGACGGATGCCTAATAAATTTTTAATTACTTTCACTCCTGTCAATCAGCCACCTGGTTTACTCATGCTAAGCACGATGTATTTTAATAGGAACGGATATTTTATGCCATAAGTTTGCTTCTTTGGATGGGGTCATGCATCATGGTATTACGCTAGTCCCTATTCGATCAACTCATGCAATAGGCTGAT